TCACAAGGTTTAGGATTGAGCGCCACAGTCACTGCGAAAGAGCAAACCAAACAGCACCTCGGGGAAACTCACTTTCAGCATAGCTTAAGAGGAGCCTATGCTAACACAGCCTTTCTTTGATCTGGGCCCATTGGGGTCCTTATATAAATCAGCCTTTTGCCACCGGGCTCTGCATCTCAAGGTGTTTCTATACCAAACCAGTGCCACGCCCGATCCGAGTTCTCCGCCCTCCCATCCTGAGGGCGAAGTTGTCCTGAGAGCGAGCGAAAAGGCGGCCCTGGAGCCGCCCAAGAAAGCCAAGGCTTCGAAAACGGGTGGGTATGGTCACAAAGGGACACCGTCCAAAATTAGACACCGGTTCCAAGACATGCCAAGACCTGGAGAAGCCGCAGTCTATGGTGAATACACTGGGAGTTTCTTTACCCCTGAAAGATGACTGGTCACCCTGGGTGATGCGATTCCGGGGACTTCCTTTGGCTGAAAAATGAGCAAACTATTTGTGGTGTTCTGACCGGCTTCTTGTTCCCAGTAGTAAGGCCAGGAGCCACTAGTAGCGTTCTTGCTCCTAGTAGCGATGCCCTTTGCTCCTAGCGTCCTTGCTTTAGTCTTTGGATGTCTTTTGACTTCGCAATATGGATCCGCTATTCCATTACAACCGGTTTCTTGAGCAAGCACAGCCTTCTGTCCACCGGTCCGTGATGTGTGATGATGGAAACTCTGGAACAGGCACCAAGATATTCACCAGTTCCTAGAGGGCCAGCTTGCTTGTAAATACTGATACTTAATACAGCCTTACTTGATATACTGGGATCCGCTGGGAATGCCCAAGGCCTTAAGTGTTAAATCAAAGTAGCACATCCAAGAAAGAAACGTCTGATGCACATTCTAGGCTTGGAACTTTCAATTGCCTTGGTTGCTTTCGGTCTTTCGCTGTGTGATTGGCGGCTTGAGATGAATATGGACCATTGCAAGCAGGCATGTCTGACCGCTTTACGCCGATTTGGACTGATGGAGATCGATGAAGGACTCCCTACATGCGGACACAAAAAAACAATGCGGGGAGGGTCCCATGGTTCGCTGGGCCATGGAGACCGGACGTGGGACGTATCGTCCATGATGAAAACGAGACGGCAGGGACGGTGCCGACACATTCTTACAAAAATTGGAGTCGCGACTTGACCCAGTGACCAAGTGAGCAAGGGAGAGCTCCTGACATTATCCTTTCTTGTGATTCCACCAGTGAAAAGGATTGAAAAGGGGAGGGTCTTCTTGGAATGATCTTGAGGTGACCTGAGATCACATCCACTATAGCCCCTCGGTACCTCCCAGGTCCTGTGATAAGCCACAAAGCGTTCTCGGCGCACTTTCTGGGATCCTGCAGGACCCAATGCCCCCGGCCCGGCCATTCCAGTAGACCCTCCCGGGTGTTCCCATCAATCGGCCAGTCGGACAGATTGAAATATGATGAAATATGCCAATCACACGACACGTCTGGGACTGCCCTTGGACTGCCGATCAGTTGGGATGGTGCCAGTCTAGTGGGGTCAATGGGGCGGCATATATTCCATACATGGAGTGTATGGGAATGGGATGATTTTTGGGGGGAGAGGAGACCTCCTGGCCCAACAGGTAGACTGTCTCGGTAGACGGGAGTGTTGGTCTCTCCCGAGTCTTTCCCGCCTCCAAAAAGGTTCGAACGGGGAGGCGCAGCCGACCCAAAGAAGCGACAACGTCTTGTGTCACACGACTCCTGACCCTGCATGGTTGGGGGAACACGGAGGAATCAACGCAAGGTTGTGACGTTGTTCCATACCTTTTGCATCTGGTCCACAATAGCAAGCCGGAGTCGCTTCCGAACATGAGCCTGCTAGGCGTAGATCTTATCATCCAACTTGCACACAGTACGTGTAGGTTCTGCCCAACAAGGGCTTCAAAATGCTGCCGTGGATGTACGAGTGATTTTTGCGGGTCCTCCATTCGCATTCATCCGTCGGTTGCTCCATGCCCAACTGGGTCAGTAATAATTACTGTTTTGTCTGGTGGGAAATTCTATACCAAGCTTCCAAGTTTTTGCATCACGGCACAAAGTATTGGCCTGGATTGATTGTTTGATTCAGAAAGCTAGGGTCCTGGGAGTATTGGGAATAGCCACTGTAAGTACAAGGATTCCTATTGATGCTTGCTTCCCTGCCGAACGACTGGCCGTGGTGAAGTGGTCATTTTCCGTCATCACGATGTCTGGATCCAATTAGGTGTGTACTTCAAAAGAGAGATCTCCTGGCTCATTAAATGGGTAGACTATCGCTGCTGGCGCCTATTGAGTTCCCATGGATAGATTTTGTCCATCACCAGTGGCACACAACTTCCAAGATGACACCCAAACACACCTCTGAAAGAAATTGAAGTAGCAGAATCATGCAGCATCAACTTTCATGCGAACGCCTGTTAATAGTGAACATCGACGGAAGACGATCCAATACTACTGAGCTTTTAGTAGGGGGGCTTCTCCCTACTGAGTAGACACAAGTTGACCCTTTATAGTCGACCCACACACCGAATTCTCGGTCATCCAGGTGCATGACTGAGTCATGAGGCTCTTGGGCTCTTGGGCCACACGACCGACGTCCGATGGACGAAAAAAGAGTGGACGGGTCGGAGGTGGAAGGACCCCCTCCGGTATTGAGAAAGAACACGGAGATGAAGAGAAGGAGTTTTTTTCTTGTTTTTGGCAGAGAAGGTGTTTGTGGATTGGAAGGGAAGGTCAGAAGGTCCATGTTCAGCGGTGATTTTGGGGGTGGAATCTTTGTGGCGCCCCGCGAGCAGCGCCTTCGAAGCTGCTGTGGATCTCCAAACGTTGGCAGCTCGGAGCCTGGGAGTCCTGGCAGTTCGCAACCCCTCGGGAGTCGCCGTGGCGGTGACCGGTGAGAGGATCTGATAGCCGAAGTCCCAAAAAACCCAAGAGAAAGAACAAACCCAAACACTCCATGCGACTGCCATAGGACTGCCGATCAGTTGGGGTGGTTTTGGGGGTCAATGGGGGGGGGCAGTCCTATGGCAGTCCCATGGAGTGTCTGGGAAACCAAAACCCACCTGCGCCGCACTGTTCTCGCCGCCGGACTGTTCTTCGTCGTCTCCCGTGGACTGTTCCGCTGTCCTCCAAGTCTGTCTGCACACTCAGGATGCTCAGGTTCGTGGATGCCATGATGGGCCCTCGGGGCTTCGTGGGTGTCACAGTCACAGGTGGTCGGTTTGAGGTCCTAGCTACAAGAATTGTCTTGAGAGTTGGGGGGCCAAGCAAAGCCCCCAAGAAAAGATGAACGCACACATGCGAAATCTTCTGGAGGTTGTGGCCAACAGGCTAGATGGTACTTATCATGTTGGAGTCTCAGAAGTGATTGTGGAACAAGGACTTCTCTTGTTCAAAGGTATTGTTGGGTTGTGTCCTACAGCAGTGGCGCGTGCATGCCACATACAATGTCATAGCATAACCACTTACTTGCCCCGATCAAGCTCACTCACACCTCCAGGCTTGCTTCGCATGTGGAAGCTCTGGCACAAGCAACATGTCAACCTATAGTCACTATAGTCTCTTCTAGATCACACACCTTCTTCGTCAAATATGGAAGACACCCGAAGAAACCGGGGCCCTGGCCGGAGGACCGGAATGGCACGTTATCGGCGATCAGGGTGACCGCGGAGCGTCCGCGATCGAATTCCGCTGCGGAGAGTTCTCCGCTGAGGACGGGAGTCCAACGAGAGATGGATCCAACAAGCAGGTGCCTAGTAAGCACCCGTACGTGGTGAGGGAAAGGGCACATGTCTGGCGGTCGGGCAGATTGATGTGTCGAAATCAGAAACATTACCTTTGTGGGGTTTGGATCTTTCTCTCTGCAGTCTTGCCATGTGCTCCAGACTTTGTTGCCTACCATGTTGGTACAATAATTCTGACGAAGGCAATGCCAAGCATCACAAGTTTAAACATATTAAGATGATGATGGTTTTCTATCGACTGTCCTAAAGGCACAAAAAGACTGCACAGATCACCAATCTCTGGGCCCAAAGTCATTGCGGACCCACGGCACTGCGATAGCAGCCTAATAGCAATGTTGTTTTATACGTTTTGAACAAAATTAAAGGCCCATTGCAGAATGTCCCCAATGATTTGTCCTGTCTAGGTCATGGATGGTAACGTGGCTTCCTCCTGACTCCTCCTGCAGGGATGTCACAAAAATCCTCAAACAATCACAAATACAAACAGCATCATCTGAGGTTGTGTTTAAAAAAAAAATACCTTTCCATGCGTTTACAGTACTCTCTCATGTGTCTAAACGTTCCTCGCAGTTCTTCGGACGTGTCCTTGAAGTTCGAACGGATGCCACCGAGTCCACGCGAGTGAGGAGCGCCACTAAAGTGGTGCAACCATGGAAATAGCTCTTGGCAACTCGTCCATCGTTTGGGTCCCTTCTGCAAAAAGACAAACAACTTGTCCCTACAAATTTGGATCATTGATTGTTATCTTGTCTTGCGAGCCTAATTAAACAGGGCACATGATTTATGCGCTGGTGGCTTCAAGCCGGAACAACGATAGTACTGCAATCCCTGTCCATCATGTACAGGAACTTTGTGTGCGATGGACCATGGAACTTAATTAAATAGCCTGACAGCATCAATCCGGAATCCCAAAAGAATTGCCAGCTCCAAGCAAACAAGCAACTTTTTTCGAAATTGGATGTAAACTCTGGACATTAACAAGTTCTTTCAATCCTCTTTGCTATGAACACTTTGCTGACAGGTGACATTCGCGTAGGAAAGACACTCCAACAAACGTAAACATCTCCACTGTCAATTACGTGATGAAATGGGTGTAAAGCAGGATGCACACACTTGACTGGGGTAATTGGGTGTTTTGTTTTAGCAAATCCAAGGTACCCTTGCAATTGCAAAACCGGATTTCTAGCTGATTTGCTGCCCGCCGTGCCATCAAGCATGCAGCACACCCGCCTTAGCATGCTCCACCCTTGCGCGTTCCTGGAGGCGGGAAACAAGCATCACATGTATCACATTGCTTGCGGGTACAAATCCTGCATCCCTTGGCACCATGCCATAATAAGCAAGTATCCAGCAGCCAAAAGCAACCACACTGCCTTTGGGAAGGCCGACTACTAATTACACCCCAACCACCATTGAATTCTTCGTGGCATCCTAGCCAATCTGGAGATACCAAGTTGGGACAAGCATTTCTCAGCACAGCCAGCCAGTTCCCTTCAGTTCTGCCGGTTTGCAAAGACCTCGTCTGCCTGGGGGGGGGTGAGGTTCTTCAAAGGGGTTACCGGCAAGTCGCTTCTCAAGAAACCGGGCAGACCGGGGGAACTCCTCAAAGGGACTGGGATAAGAGGCATGGTAGGATGTCCAAAAGCAGGGTGAACCACGCGACCTTGTACTTCTACGTCTTTGTGTGTAGGCTGGCGACTTACTAAGCCTAACTGCATGTTCTACAAAGATCAAGTAAACAAAGCCACTGGGACTGGAGGCCCAGTGGAGCCCGAACAACGCGCCGTCGCCTGTCGTGCGCCGTCGGACCGTCGCCGTCGCCTGTCTGTGCACCCTCAATGTCTGTGCAGGTGAGGCCGGTGAACATGGAGAAGGGCGTGACCTTGGCAGTGTTTGCCGCGCAGAGCGGAACGCATCATGGCAAACAAATAATTCTATAAATCCGATGACTAAACACTCTCTCTCTCACATATAATGTGTATTTATACGACTAATATCATATTTATACACAATAGTATACACAATATTGCCAGACAGAACAGCAATATTCAAAACCAGCACCACCAGTCTTTGCGACAGCACCCTTACATACCCAGGAATCTTCGGTGCCGATTTTGGAGTCTTGAAAGTCGCATCAGGCCTGAGGTAAACTCAGCCACCTAGATCAAACCTAGATCAAATGAAATGGTCTCACCTTGATCAAACAGGTTTTCCAATGAAATAAACTAAATAAATGGCCGACGCATGCTCAAGAAGCCATGCAGCTCTCTTGCAGGTGACCTGGAGAATGAATCCCCATGGCTGATCCACAAAAATATTTTCACACCACCTGACCCCTGATTCCAAAGTTGAGCTGATCCGGAAGCCTGTGGAGGGTCGTAGATGTTCACTGGCACATGGCCTTTGAACCTGGCACGCCATGAGACGTCTGATCATTCAGGTGCCAAGACGAACTGTGAAACCGCCGCATTCTCTCGCGCTACCTAGAATCGGCCAGAGTCTCCAGCTTGCACCACCAATGTTCGGTGTCAATTGGAGAATTCCAGCGAATTCCAGGAAGCCAAATTCTGGTATATCCAACAAAGGTTTTTCAGAACCCTAGTTCGACTATCCCATAGGTACTCCAGTAATTTTAGGATCCTTTTATGGTCCTTTTTCAGGTCACACAAAACCTCCCTTGGATATCCCAACTCTTGGAGATTGGTGTTGCAGGACGTGACCGTTGGTGTTACAGCATCGACCCGACTCAGAGGACCCTGACAACCTCCCCTTTTGGAGAGCAACCACTCAAACGAAATGGCCTTTTCCCATCTTTTCCCCATCCAAAAAAAACGACATGGCTTAGGAAAACCCAAATCAACTTCCAAATACATGCACACCCATAGTACAAACCACAGTCACCTGAACTGTTCTCCGTTGGGGGTGAAGAAAACCGATCCATCCGTCCCGAAAACCACCCAGTACCTCTGCGCGCACCTCTGCGGCACGGCGCCCGGCACATCGGCGCGGATCAAGGAGGCCTGGCACATCGGCACCGACCGAAGGAGCGAAAAAAAAAAAAAAAGCACCGTGTGTCTTTTTTCTTTCAGAGGTCCCGGTCTTGAACAAGAGTCTTAACTCATTATAATACAACAATATCTACACTTTCTAGAATGAAACATGGAAGTGGAGTGAGTTCAATCCCCCTGTTTCACGAAAGTAGTCTGGAAAAAAGAGGGGGGCAATGGCATCCACGTAACCATGGAACGTGAGTCAGAGTAGAGTTCAATCGGCCCTTTGATCTGAAGTACGAAATGCACCGAGGTGCTGATGATCTAGATTCTAGATTCAACATGAGCTGAAGATTGTGGGAAGAACACTGGCTTTTGTTGCACCCTCTCAACGCAGTGACCTAAAACATCTTCCTCCCATGTCGACTCACCCAGTCAGACTGACCGACGTTGCAGCGCTCCGACTCGCTGAAAGCACCTGAGGCTCGCCGTTGTCACGGTGCAGCACCTGAGGAAGCCGTCGTTGTCACGGGACGGGGGGGTTTCTTGCGGCGGAAGCGAATGGCAAAAAGCCAGTGGCCAGGAATATCAACTTTGGTCATCTTGAGAAATACACAGGATGCTTGGCTTCAACAGAACCCTGAACTGGACTGAAGAAAGGTTTCGACGGCATGACTTTGAGATGCTTTGGGATCGTTGTAATATTTTTTGAGGGTTAACCCCACATCCAGAATGCTAAATACAGGGACCAGGATTGGCAGTGAGGGCATCATGTTTCGCATATAATGCCTAAGTACCGGAAAGCCCGTGAATTGATTTACAGTCTCCTTACAACTACTAAATTAGTTTGATGGTTTGTGTATAAAACTGCATATTATACTGTAGATTTTTGTAGCTATATTGTTCATGCGCCCTAATCCTTCCAAGTTAAAGGGGTTCTGTTCAGCATTAGAGTATAGGCTCCTCTGAGGGCCCCTTTGGTTCCACTGTGACCAAGCCCAAACCTGGAGTTTTAGGGACCAAAGCTTTGCTATGGAACACATGGAGCTCAGGTTTTCTTCGAAGCAAGACCAAAAGACCCTCGGCGACGCACAGTCTTCCACCTGGGGCCTCCCGCTCTGGACGAGGAGCCCTCGACATGTGCCACCTCGACGAGGGTTCCGCATAGCGCAGCGCACCGCGCAACGGGTCGTTAAAATGTTGAGAACAAAATGACTTAAGACCCTATGGATCAACATGACTGTGGAGCAAAAGCCAAGACCTCCAAAACCTGGTATATAGGTTGGCCGGTTGGCCTCCTGTAGGTCGTCTATTCTGTTCTTCCCGTCGCGTCGAGCGAAGTCTCGGCTGGTATGCTAAGCATTCTGCTCAGCATCCTCCACACATGTGATTTCACATGTCACCCCGAATTAGGATTCCGCGCTGTCCAAACAAAATGCCCAAGCTTGCAAGCGGGCGGTTGACACACTAGCAAGAATGTGAGCAAACCTGACCTTTTGCTCATGATCAAAGTAAATTTCCGCTCCATCAATCGTTCCGTTCGGGAGGGATTTGCCTATACACTTGTTTCTATGTCTATTGTGGCGGCCAGGGATGAACCTGTCCTGGGAAAACGTTCTAAAGGCCGCAACCACCTGTTTGAAGTCTGTTGCCAAGTCACGGAAAGTGTGAAGTGACGGGTCGTAAGAGGGCAAGGACCAACCTTGAAGGTAGAAAAGAAGAGCCAGTTCCATGTAGGAAGTGACTGCGTCTTCCGCAACTCGCCACCTCTGAGCAGCAAAAAAGGAAACCAGTTGGGTCCAGTCTTTAGCCCGGTCACTCCAAGTCGGTGGGAGGTCAACCTGCGACATATCAAAAGATGGAGTCCACTGAAAACATTGGGGCAGCGGGTGCCAGTCCCAGTTGGGAAACAGTGCATAGACATCCTCCGACAACGCTTCTTCCTCAATCCGTGCTTCCTGTTTATCAAGCATCTCTGTGCACTGAAGACTAGCAATGTCCATGTTTAAGCAAGTTAGCCAATCTTGTCGTTTTGTGATGGAGTCTTTCAGAAGCCCTTCATCTCTCGGGTGAACGCTCGTGGCGTCAAGGGCATGGATTTTGGCATGTTTATCAGCAAAGCGATTCCCAATTATGTGTCGAACTTCAGTCTTGTGGGCATGAGCCATTTCTGGTGTGATGAACTCTCCAGGCAGATGTTCGAACAGGTGCGAGGGAATCCACGTGAGGGAAAACGGCGTCGGATGGCAACAATGGACTTCGTTCCATCGCTTCGAGATTGCCTGCCACCACGCTAAATGAGACCACGAGGCCTTGGGTTCACCTGAGAGACACAGTTCTTGAAATTGGTCAACAATCGTCTTGCAGTCAGTGAACATTTCCGTGGGCCCAGCACACTTGCAAATGGCAAAGACCAGGGCCCAAAGCTCCGTGGTATAGGCCGAAATCTGAAAGTGTCGGACCGGGCCTCCAAAAAGTTCCTTGGAGTGCATGTCAACAATAGAGAAACCTCCAGCCGAAAGCCAAAAAATATCAGGCCAGAATACCGATCCATCAGACCACCACTCTACCTTTGGAGCAAAGGGGTCGAATGGAGGTTGCAGAATCTGGTTGGGATCATTCCAATCAAGTCGATGTCTAATGACTCCAACAGGGTGCTCAACGATCCCCAACAGCCCAAAGTTGGGGCCATACTCATGGATAGGGAGGGGGGGATGATCTGCATGATACCGTTCACAATCGTGGACCAGATGGGACAAGGACTCTTTAACCTTGCCACAGAATCTGCAAAGGTCTGACTTGTCCAGCTGGGCGGCGAAAATTCTATCACGCGTAAGTGTGCACCCAACTAATTGCGCAATAAAATGGCTCTCAACCAGGGGCTTGGATTCATGTTGAATTTTCGAATGCTTGCGAAGACCACAAGAAAGATCATAATCCAAAATCCCTGTCGGTTGGCGAAAATCCTTACGATGTTGGTTGGCTGCTTGAAGATAGCACTTGTGTCTCGAGAGACGATGCAGGAGCATTCTTATGTCCTTGGGGTGAACATCCCAGGCAGGCATGAGCGGCTTGCCCCCAAAAGAAATGACCAAGCCCTTGGAAAGTTGAAGGCCGAAAAAGGAGAAGGCTTGTGAGACACGAGACGAAAAAGCATTCTCCAATTCACAATGTGCTGCCGCCCATCTACACTTATCAAGGGAATTGCCAGGCATACGAATGAATCGCAAGAATTCCATGACTGTGTGATACGCTTTTGCACATACATTCCTGTGTGGCTCCGAAAGGAAGGCCAAAACAAGGGCACGAGAACGCCAATGTGGCCTTCGGCACCATAAAGCGTGGACAATCTCCGACTGAAACTTCCTGGCAAATTCCTTGGGGATTTGGTTAAGTGAGGCAGCAAAGCAAAACCTGGGAATGACCTTGACCCCAATGAAGAAGCACTTGGTTTTCACAGGAAGTGGAAGAGCTTTAATATGTTTAATTTCTTTGATGATGGCGGCAGCTTTCTTTTCTTCAAAGTGAAAAGCTTGTCGTTTGGAGGTAGGAATTGTCGCACCAAGAACATCGAGTTCAAGTTGACACAGCATCTCAGGCCAAAGTTGCTTACAAACTTTCCTAGCCTTGGTGGAGGTCCCCCAAACTACACATTTCTTATCATTGAGAAGCTGGCCGGACAATAAGTCCCAGAACCGTGTGGTTTCCACTGCATGGGCCAGCACATGGGCATGTTCGAGCCGTGCCCACAGGTATGCGTCATCGATATAGGCCATCGCAACCACCTCTGGAAGAAGGTTCATAAACACCACCCAAACTTTCGAGTAGACATTAATGGCTACGAGGGAGAAACTATCTCCCTGGGCAATACCGTTGGCAGCATGGGTAGCCACAGGCGAACACCAACTCTTAAAGGAAAGGTGGCGGTGAAGGCCATCATACAGTTTGCTGAAGATGGAAACAATTCTACGATCAATTCCAAAAGCCAACATGAGACAAGAAGCGAAGGAGGGGATAATCCTATCGAAACACTTGGCTTTATCCAACTTGAGTCCAATAAGGTCATACCCTTGGGCATGAGCAATGTCAATGTCAAGTTTCAATTGAGTCTGAATACAAGACATGTTACGACCCTGGACACCACCCACAAGTTGGGATGGCATGGAATTGATCTGCCAGCCGCGAAGTTGCCTAAACCGGGCTCCTGAGTATGCCAGGTATAGCACAGGGAGTACAGTTATAAGACGTTTCTGCATGGGATGTGAGGACCCATTTTTATTCAAGATGATCTGCCTGGCACAAGTCAGGGTAGACGGCAGCGGATCATCAGAGGTCTCAAGCTCAGCGAAGATCTTGGCAAAAGGGCGAAAGCATGCTGCAGGAAGTAGCTGCAATTCCTGAGTTCGCCATCCGTCAAAACCCGGTGCCGCTTGAGGGTTTCTAGCTTGAATCGTGGTCCACATGGCATGTTCATCAATTGGCTGACACTCAAATTGCTGCGCATGATCTCTAATGTAAGGCCAAATAGCATCCAACATGCGAAGGGGATGGTCGGCCTGAATATTACAAGCAAAAACATCATCCCAGGCATCATTGAAGGTGGAAATGGCTTGGTTCGGATCAACGATGATGTTTCCATCGGCATCCTGCAACAAATTGGCTGGTTCTGCACAGGCACGGTTGCGTAGATGCTTGAAAATGAACTTGTTCCCACAACGGGCATCCTCCTGGATCTTCTGTCTCCAACGTTGGATGCGTGCCAATTTAGTCTTGACATCGTAGGTGCGAGCAGCATCTCCCACCCAGGAAAGGTTGGACCAAACCTGCAACAAAGTGGACCCGTGAGTCCACACCCAGGGGGATTGAAGTTCAACTAAGACCTTACGAAGCTTAAAGCAAGTGTTTAGTGTGACCTGTGTGTCATGGATGTTTCCTGGCAAGCGGGCAAACCGGGTATAAAGCTCTTGAAGACCCCTGTATGCACGACAGAAACGTGAGAGTTTGGTCTTGGAAGCACCTCCAAACAAGTTCTGCCCTGGGCAAACACGTTTGGAGCGAAAAGCCGGCGGTCGTCCACGATGCTTAAGACCTTTGCCCCATTGTGCACCATTCTGTAGGAGGAACGAGACACAGAAGTCATTCGCAATCTCCCATTGGGAGTCCACATCTGCAGCATCATCAAAGGCCTGTGCAAAGGACTCAGACCAAAGGGCATCCGCATGCTGACTAGTGAATTGAGACTCTGGTGATATCCCTTGGTCAACTTCTATACACAAAGGTGCAGTGCGATGGTGTATGAAACCTGAGACAAACATTCTGGGCCAGGAACAAACGATCCTCAAAGGACGGTGTTGGGTTTCAAAAGAGGCCACCGTTTCTGTTCTGAGGAGGGCCGCACATGTAACATGGTTGACGAGGATGGTATCAATGCTCGAACACCCATCTTGACCGGAGAAAGACCTGTCTGATGAGAAGGTGAGTTCACGGGACGGTAACCCCTCAGCATCAAAGGAGAGGAACGGATCCTCCCATTTGGCAAAATGGATTGCACTTGCAACAGCAGAATACGAAAGCGGCTCGGCTTGGAAATCCCCTGCGATCATCACCGGCACGTCTCCGAATTGAGCAGAGATCTCAAATCTGTTCCAACGCCCTATCGTTCCAAGAGTGGGGATCCTGTTCAGACGAGGCTCCAGTTCGACCGTAGAAGGACCAAATGAGGGCTCGGACATGTTTTGAGACCTGGTGCCAAACAGCCGAAACCCTAGTGGAGTCAAAAAGGCCTTGGTATTGACCCGTAAGATCTTGAAGGGGATCGAAAGCTTGTGTGTTCTCATGCGGAGCAAGGATCGCGGACCCTCCATGAGGTGTGCGGGAGACACCATGGTTGGTAATAAGACCCGGCAAAAGCTTGGACGGAAACAAATGGCGACCCGTGGCTTGGACACGGAAGGTGGCGTCACGATGATTGTTCCGACCTATACGTGGCTCTTGAACACAGATGACCGAGTCTTGGGCAGTCTGCCACTGCATTGTCGTGCGGAGAGAACCAGTGTTATGTGAGAATAAGGACCATTCTTCAGTGGGACCTTCCCCCGGGAAACCACACGTGGAATCGAATTGTGAGCGGTTCGAAAATGCACATGG